AGGGGTAGAAAAAACCAGAGGGGAGGAGGAAGAAAAAAAACAAAGGAGATAACGCCTAATATGCAATATCCGATCGACGATCAAACGATAACCAAATTCATATTCGAGCATACCGTCGTGCTCGGGACGACATAAGGATCAATTTAGGACTCAAGGACTGGCCAAAAGTGGCCCACGGGCTGCCCCACGAGTCAGCAGCACTTGGGTGTCCAAATCAATTTCCGGCGATAGGAAAAACTCCAAACCACCGGTCAAGACTTATACCTACACAAAGAGCACATAGAGTAAAGCAACTTTTGTTCTTGGACCTACCCGAAAAAGTCACCGGAAGTGGTCCGAATCAAGGGCCGAAACTGGCCAAAACTTCCGTCGCTTATTTGACCACCAAAATGCAGAAATTTCTCATAAATACCATAACCAGCAGCTTGAACACATTGAAATGATGAGAAAACATACCAAGTTCGAAGAATTTGGTTGCCGGAATCACCCGAACGAGCTTCGAAAAATCATGTAAAATCTGGCCTGTTTTTGACGTTTTCCAGCGACGGCAGCGGCGGATCGAGGCGGAGGAGGGGTGGGGCTGGAAGAGGAAGATGAGGCGGTCCTTTTGGGACCTCTGTAAACCCACTACCTTTTTGAAGAAACGGTGAGAGAGCTTAATCATTGAAGGCCTCTCAGCACTCTCAACTCTCAGCGTGTCGAAAAGAACCTCAAGAATGACAAATGGCAGCTGATTTTCGAGCAAAAGCATGTCAGGCACTATATTTGTTAACATCCATGGTTTTTTAAATATCCAGTCATTATCATCTCGCAATTCTTCGAAATAGTACCTCAACAATAGCTCAATGACAAAGGCGGCATCAACTAGAATGATACTTACAAACTTGTCGCTACTCTTGAAGTGCTGAGCGTTTCCATAACAACCACGGAGTTTATCTTCTTGGGCCTTTATTTTCTCTACATAATACTCCAAGCTAACCTTATTATTCCGATGAAGAAAATATTGTAGGTACCTCTGTTTGTATTCTTCCATGGCTTCTAATTCTTTGTTGTCATGGTGAATTGGACCTATTGAGACTACTTCCGGGGTGTAAGAGTTATTTTTGCCCCGTAGTCGCAAAGGAACCCTGTAGATACAGCCCTCATCAGAGGACCGTCGAGACAAACTATCCAACCGCCGCTTCAAATCTGCTACTGGGGAGTTGGGGTTTTCTACGTCATGTGGAGCTTCATTGCTGCGTCCTTCCACTTCCATTATGTGTTGTTCTGATTGTAAGTGATGAGGGTATTATTGGCACCATAATAAACAAATGTTTCAATCATTACAGACATTTCAAGATGGTTCCTTCAAAAATTTAGAAAACATGCATCACAAATGCGAAATCGTACAATAGATAGGTTGAGAAGATCCACACATTGCAAATAGCAATTACACATTCCTATCCTCCTATAAATAGGTCAATCTCTCTCTCTCTCTCGAAATCGACAAGATTTTCATGTCAATAAGATCTCATTGCAAGTGACTTGTAGATGAAGTGGTAAAGAACAAAAAGTCATATTCTTCCAATCAAAACATATCAAGTCAAACAAAATTTCTAAGTTAATTAGTTTGCTTTATGATAGTTGTTTTTTGAAGGGGTCCTTAGATCCAATCTCAAAAAGTTTGGCTTTTATTAGGTTTAACTCTGGTTTTTGCAATTTTTTTATCTCTACCCACTAACTTTTATCTCTCATTTTTATTACCCATTTTACCCTTTAAAATAAATAGGGCAATAAACTAAAAATTCTGATTTAATGCATGTTTTACTACTAATTCAAAATTGAATTAAGTTTTTTTTTTGGGTCAAAAAAATTGAATTAAGTTTGAACAACCATAAATGTATTCACAACTAAGTAATATTTATGAAAATAATAAAATTCAGATTAAGGCATACACAAATAATATAGAATACCTATATTTTTAAGAATAAAATACCTATATGTTTAAAAAAAACAAAATAATAAACCTAGAACACATAATGTAACATCCCGACCCAAAATATTATTAAGATTGGATTTAATTTAATTAAAATTTGGAATTTCCAATTTTGCCCTTGAAGTGGGGGCAAAAAGGGTCATTTTTATCCGAAGAGAGTTTGGGGCAGCAAGTGGTGTTTTTAGAAAGGTGGTACTGAACCGAGTCCGTAGACACGCGGTAGGCTCGAATTGGACTTGAAACGAAGAAAATGCGATCGGAAATGCGTTGGGGATTTAATTGTTATTATTTTCAGAAATTATTTTGGGATAAAATCAGTTTTCTTTTATTTTTCCTCACTTTCTCTCATTTCCCTCTCTCTCTCCCGTGCGTCTCTCTCTCTCCCGTCAACTCCCTCCACCCTCTGCAAAACTCGCAGCCGCCACCTCCGGCAACCACCAGCCCCGGCTCCGGCCAAGAACGACGCACCACCACCCCAGCATCCTCCCCCGACCTTGTGCAGCCCGGAAACAGCCGCTGCAGCCACCGGAAAAAACGCAGAAAAATTCCTCCGGTTTTGGCAGATTTTGCAACCCTTCGTTCTCCTTCGTTTCTCAACCAAATTGGACGAGTGAGGTATGAAAATTCATCTATTTTTCGTGCTCTAGCTGCCTGTTGGTTAGGTTTCCAGAAATTTTGAGAGTTTATAACTCAAATTTCGAATTGAAGAAAACTGGCAGTTTCGGCCACCATTTTGGGCCACTTCCGGCCATTTTCTGGCCTTCACCCAAGAAGAAAAGTGGTTCCAAATTAGGTGTATTACCTGGGTTAGGAGTTTGGAGCCAAAATACTAAGTTTTTCCGGTCACCGGAATTGTGATCAAGCCACCCGCGTGCGGCAGCGCGTGGGGCGGCGCGTGGGCAGTCCGGCAGAGGCCACATTGTATCCTAGAATGATCCTTGTGTTGTCACGAGCGCGTAGGAGTTTACGGATCTCAATTCGGATAACGTTTGAACCCCGAACGGATTTTACATATAGTGTGAATTCCGGGTTCGATATGTTAGAACCGTTGGATCACTTCCAAATTAATATATGTTGATTTAGATATTCCTAGGATCGTGTAGGAATTCGCGGATCGGGAATCGGAGCCCCGGATGTTCCGATTTAAATAGTTAAAGTTTGTGTTTTACGTTCTTCAATTCATTTGTTGGAAGAAATTATAATTTAAGGGTTAAATACCTTTTTGCTTATTGGGGTTTATACGAAATTTCAATTTTTATTATCTTGAAAAAAAATATATATTAACCATATGGGTAATTGTATTATTGAAAGTTTACAACTGTTGGGTTAAATACCTTTTTAGTAATTGAGTTTCACATGAAATTCCAATCACTTCAACACAAACAATATCCATTTGAATGAATTCGCAGTTCAATTTTTGAACAGCTCTATTCAAGCATGTTAGGCCATCTCCAACCATGGGCCATAGGCAAAATATGCCCTAAAATAATGCAAAACCCATCTCCAGTCATGAGCTAAAAAAAAATTGGCCAAATTTGGGCCCTTTAGCCCTTCAACTAGGCCAAATGTAGCCCTGCTTTGGCCTAAGCCAAATTTTTTTGTGGGCCCAGCACATGTGCTTTCCAAGAAGAGAAAGTATCATGCGTGGGCAAGAGCATGAAACATCTCGTGCAACTGCAAATCCAACAGCCAATATTAAAGGTGTGTTGACATCATCGATGATGTGAGCTAGCCGTTAGGTTTTTATTTTTATTTTTAATAACATTTTTAAATGTTTTTAAATTCGTTTTGTTTTAAAAAAAAAAATACATATAAAATTGGTTTCTGATAGTTGGAGGTCAAAATCATTGATTGAAAAGTTATTATTTATTTATTTATTTAAAACCTTTTTAAATGTTTTAACATCATTTTGTGTAAAATATATATAAATTAAAAAATATTGTCTCTAAATCGTAGTTTAATTAAATTAAAAAATACATAGTTGTGGAATATATGAGTGTTGTACCATAGTTTTTCTCAAAATAATAAAATATGAAGGGCCTTAAAATATAGCCATGCATGGCTGGAGATGAAAAATTTTAGCCCCTGCACTATTCTTTAAAAAATTAATATTTTGGATGGCTATATTTTTAGCCCTATACTACATTTAGCCATATGACTCGAGATGGCCTTACACCCTAATATTGTGGTACAGAATACTTTACTAAATCCTTTTTTTATTATTATTTTTCTATTTTTTTTAACTTTGGTTTTTGTGATCTATAAACAACTTAAGACTGAAGTAACTTTGAATGTGGTTCCTAATTGTGAAAAAGTGGTATGAGGGTCAAGCCAAGCATTTTAAACTCATGAAGATGATCTTGCCATCCAACTTTAGACTGAAGTAACTTTGAGTGGGTATGAGGTGAAAAAGTTATTGTGGCCTTGGCTAATAGCTGACAACATAATATATAATTAGGGTTAACTACATATAAAACTACCCAATTTATGGGGTCGTTTTAAATTAGTACCCAATCTTGAAAATCTTACATGTATAGGTACCTGATACTCAAAAAAAACATACAAAAATTATAAATAAAAAAATTCGTAACTTTTTAAGTTAATTAAAAATATCAAAAATAATAATAAAAACATAAGAAATTAAAAAAAGTCCCCAAATATTAGGTGAATGAAGTGGCGGGAAAAATAAGAGAGCTAGCACATTAGTCCATGAATACGCATAGTCATGTGTACTCTGTAGCATAAATTCTTATCGAAGAGAGCATTTAACCGGGTTAACTAAGGAGAAGGAAAGAATTGATTTCTTTTTTATATGTTTGCTGACTTTTTTTATATGTTTGAATCAAAATCTACGTGAAATAAACTGCAGAGAACTTTTAAATGGAACAACTACTGATCAGTTCTAGGATTCAAATTTTGATATCCAACTTAAAATGCATAAAGGAAAAGGCATTTGAAATTCAACAGTCTTAATTATATGATTAATCATGTCTTAATTATATGATTAATCATACCTTAATCACTATCTTGCATAAGCTGCTGGGCTGGGTTTGAAGAAGTCACAGCTTGCTTGCACAACTGCTTTCTTCCAAAAATTGCTAGTTCCACCATCAGGGCCAGTCAAATCCTATTCTGAGACCACGTTTCATTCCAACAACAGTAGTATATGGTTCAAAAAGCCTTGTTTCATCTGGCGTGAATTCCCTCCATCACTTGTATTGCAATATGTTGGTTTTATAGGGTGAAGAGGTGAACAACAAAGTGATTTTATTTATTCTACAATAGATGGGTACAAGGCTTTATACAACACTAGGCTTATTGGCCTTCAACAACTAGAAATTTTTACTAGGCTTATTGGCCTTTTTCACTCTTTGGTGGCTATTTGGCCTTTTCTCTCTCTTTCTTGCTTTTGTACAAAAGACATCATCTATTTATAGACTCAAGTTGCCGCTATTGTCCAAGTC